GTTTTTCCAGTGGACGCCAAAACTAAGGAAGTTACAGGAAGCCACTCCTCCATCCTAGGCTTGCACATGAATATATAATTATTGTAATAACAGCAAAACACAAAACATAAGTTTCATCTGAGGCCGTTCTCATCACAAAAACTGTGAACAGTGAAACCGNTAAAAAAAAAGGGCCTCTTTTTTATCTTTGCGGCCTCCCGCGCCCCCGCCGCGCAATCGAAGCAGCGCCCCCCGCCCTTCCCAGGGCGCCCTCGAACAAAGCAGAGGCCTTCTAGACAGGTTTCTTCGCCACGTGGCCGCGTCCGCGTCAAAAAAGGAGTTGGCTGGCCAGATCTTCTGGCCCGCAGCGCCCCTCCAAACCGTAGCGCCCCGGGGCGGCGTCTCGTCTTCGTAGGCAAAGGTCATTTCCCCGCCCCCCTTGCGAAAGAGGGGGGAGGGTCGCTGGGCATCTGAAGTTGGAACGAGAGCGCTCGCGGCGCGGGGGGCGATGGTTCGCTGTTGTTTCTTGAAGTGTTGTTGCGGGTGTTTGTCTGGTGTTTTGTGTTCGCTTTGGGGGCGTCGTATTTCGCTTATTTGAAATGGAGCCGTGCAGCTCGTTGAGACGCGGTGGTGGAAAGTCGCTGGGGTCCGTTGTTGTTGTTATTTTTATTGACAAATATTGACGCTTTTTTTGGTTACCTTTTTCGTATCAAGGAGTAAACGTACGCAAAATCACTGCAATAAGAAAAAGGAGAAATAATACTTGCATTTATTTTAGCGTAGTATGGCAGTGTTTTCTTGTATAAGATGCGGATATATGTATGAGTTTCTTGTTTCTAACAGCTATTCCCGAAAGCTGACGCTGCGTCATGATCACTGTCCTCGCTGCGACAAACTTACTTTGTTCCGCTTTATGAGTGTCAGTGGGATGGTGGGAAGGACACCCTTTAAGCCCGTTGGTGTCCCGGCACCTTCTTATGCAACTTTGTGGTGGCGGAAAAAAAGAGATGGCAAAAGTGCAACAGCTCCACTTGATGCTGTTTGTGGGGGTGATCGTTGGTAATGGTATGCCCTTGCAATTTTTCTTTGGTGTATTGCCTCATTGTTTTACTACATATTTTTCTATTCTCAGATGTTGATCTATCTGTGGAGTGAAATCTTATTTTATCAATTCAAACTTGATTTTTATCCATCTATCTATCCAGTATTGTTATTATTATTGCGCTTCTCTCTTTATTACATATACAACTACTAGAACCATCTTAAGGGGATTACATTTGACAATCATGTTTCTGGCAAGCTTTTCGATTTGCTGTGGGCCGTCCGATGCCGAACAAAAATATAAACAGGATGATATTGTGGAGGTTTATGTGGACGCAGTGTTTTCTCCAACGATCACGTTGGAAAAGTATGATTTTTACGATGTGCCCTTTTGTCGCCTGGACATACTGAAAATAAGAAGGACGAACGTTTTGGGATATGATTGACGAAAATGTAAGGAGGGCTTTGAACCATAGGTTGTTTTTTTGAAATTAACTCAACCGTACCTTCTTTTTTGCCAATCCAATTTAAAGGAAAAAGAGAAACCTTGTTTTATAGAGTTCATCCGAAAAACAAAAAAAATGCGTCTTTACAATGCGTCTGATGAATGTGGAGATTCTTATTTCTATTGAATATTTAACTCCAAACAGGGATGCCATGCTGAATATATGGGTGTTATTTAATGTGCCTACTACTTCTAATCGTATGATAGACATGATAACTGAATTGTTGCAACATCGATAAGTTGCACTGTTGTCAGGCCCACAGCAGATAAATTTTACTTACATCGTTTTATGGATTGAGATAAATGGCAACGTTGATGCGATTCTCATAAAAATATAATATGTTTTTTTTTTTGATACAGAAGAACTACAAATATAAACTAATTCTGCTTTAAATTTACTTCTTTATCATTTTTTTTTGTCTACATGTGTGATTTTAATTTTTTGCAAGAACACTAAGACGTGATATTCAACGATATGGAGTGTTGGAGGAAGAGGTGGTGGAAGAAATTGTGGATGGAAACGCCTTCATGCGGACGTTTTTGGATTTCCTATGAACCTTTTTTTTGTGCTATAACAGGTTGTAGTTCCCGAATTTTGCTTATCGTTTTTCTGGTCTTTGTATGTATTGTGATCAATTCTTTGAGTATGAGAATAAACAAAGTTATTAATTCTGTGGTTTGTATTTTTGGACTTTCACTGCTTGTTTGTGGTTTCATGAGTTGGTCCCTTTACTGAATAATTGAAGGGAAAAACGCTTTTAGAAGCATGTTGTTTGTGTATTGTGTGCTCACTGGACCACTTTTGTGTTCGTATGTCTCACAATTAGTTTGGTTGCCTTACAACATCGTTGTACTTATGGAAATGTTTGGGGTAGTTATTTTAATTATTTTCTTAGCTTTGTGGGGACCACGTTTCTTCTTGTTTGGGGCAAGCGTTGGGAAACCTTTTAGCAGCCCATTTGATGTACCCACCCAAACAAAATTTGTTTCCCATAAGATTCCTTCTTTACCATCGTATTGACGGACCCTCACGCAGCCGATTGTTGTAGGACCACTTTCTTTTATATGTATATCGAACTTCATTTCACATTTGTTTGTTTGTGGGTGAATAAGTCACCTGCACCATTTACCGTTTATTTCATGATATATATTATTTTTGTTATTCTGACAGCAAGTGTAAACGTCATGCCAACTTATGACACTCTTAGTGCTGAAAGTCACAAATTGTGGTAGGCTTCCCCACTTTGCGGAGGATCTGTTGCTGTATTTGTGTTTCTCTATTGTGTAATGTTTTTTATTTGTACAGACACAAATACTTGGGAGATTTTATCTAGTGATAGGCTTTGTGTACGGTTTTTTTTTTCTACTATATTTTTGTTGGGGTGTTCACGGTGTGTTTTTATGCATATTTTCTTCTTGTAAAGCAAATATACACTACATCAAGTGCGATTGGTATTTATCTGCGCTGTGATAGCAATACAAGGCAGGTAAGCTTCATTGTGTTTGGAAACAATTTTAATGCGCAAGCATGTATTGTTGCTTCTACATTTGTACATTAAAAAAAAACATTTGGTTAATTTACTGTTTTTTTAAAGATTACGCCCAAGGGCTCGTCAATGTTAAAAACGGATTACAGACGATTTAAAGGTATTGCAACATGCAAGCCCTGTTTTTACTATCACATCTAATTACACATTGTTAGGTAATATATATATTGTTCTTTGATGAGTATAGACAACAATGATAGTTCTTAACAAACTGAAATTATATCTGATATAATAATCAGTCTTGGCTGTAGATGTGGACCATAAACAATGAGAATACCCCTAATTGTGGTGACTGAAATATTTATCCAGTGTACAGGAACAGATGTTGGACGTTATTCAGCTCGATACTTATCCGTGGAGTCGGGACAAAATGTATAAAAGCAAACACGCAGTACGAATGCAAATACTGAAGGAAAATATTAAAAATTTAATCCTGGTGGGCTACAGAATAATGTTGCTTGTTTTTAATGAATGAATCTCTAATAAGTTTATCTTTTAATGAAATATTGCAGTTGAGCGATAGCTTGGATTCTGCATTATATATATATTATTATACATATATATATATATATATATATAATAATAATAATAAGAAATGTTAAG